GTTCATCTGTTTTGTTTCTTAAACTCCACGTATGAGTGAAATCATATGGTATTTGACTTTTTCTGACTGATTAATATTGTTTACCATCATACACTCTAGCTCCATCCACGTCATTGCAAATGGCAAGATTTCATTCTTTTTGATGGCTGAGTAATATTCCATTGTATAGATATAACACATCTTCCTTATCCATTCATCACTCGATGACACTTGGGCTCTTTCCATAGCTTGGCTATTGTTGATAATGTCAACACTTGATTTTTAAAAATGTAGATTATGGTTTCAATAATTATTATTGATTATGATTCAATAATGATGTGTTTTGTTCTCTCTCAAAATAAAATCTTAAAAAAATTTTAAAAATTTAGTGAATGAAAGAACATTGTACTCAGTGTTAACTTTCTTCCCTCTTCCTCATCCCCACCCCATCATGAATTTTGTCTGTAGCTTTTTAGTTCATTTTTATTTCTTTTGCTACATGCACATGTTAAACATATGTAAAAAAGGCGAAGTACTTGTTTAACAGTGCATACAAATGCTTTTCTATGTATGCCATTTTGCATCTTGCTTTCTTTTCATCTGATACTGTTTTGATTCACAAATAGACTCACACTTGTAGTGTTGCCCAATGTAAGAACAAGATGGTATTTTGGAACAGCAGAGAAAAGATGTTCTTTTCAGTAGCATGTCATTTGGATATCCATTTGAGAAAAAAAAAATCCACCTTCATTTCTACCTTATATAACAAACTCAATTCCAGGTGTATTTCAGGTTTCAATGTAAGTGGTAAAATAATAAAGCTTTTAGGAAATAGAAGAACATTTTCATGATCTTTGAGGGCACAACAAGTGCTAACTATGGAAGAAAAATAAGATATTAAGATATAACTTAATATAAATAAGATCTTATAATAAATTTATAAAAAGCTACCACTAGAATAGTAATAGAGGTCACAAAGTGGGAGAAGATCTTTACAATATGTATATCTAACAAAGGACTCATTCAGGATATATTAATAATTTTTCAAATAAATAAAAAAAGGCAGGTAACTCAATTTTTAAAAAGTAGACAGAAGACATTAACAGGCACTTCACAAAAGAGCACCTTTGCTCCTAGGTATATACCAACTGAAATGCATACTTAATGTTTTTCATAAATACATGCTTTAATTTCATAGTTGTACTGTTTATAATATACCCAAACTAGAAACAACCTAAGTGCTTATCAACAAAAAAGTAGATAAATTCCAGTACATATTCTCTCTCTATCCCTCTTTCCTTCTGTCTCTCTCTCGGACTCACACACTATATGGCAGTGGGAATGAATGATCTACACTTATATGCAGGAGTATGAATCTCACCCCCATAATATTGAATGGAAGAGGCTATAAACCAGAGAGACCATATTCTATAATTCCATTTATATAAAGTTCAAAATCAAGAAAAACTGATCAATTGGAGAGGGATAATGACTGGAGGGGGCATAAATTAGTAAGGTTCTGTTTCTTGATATAAATGCTAATTACACAAGGACATTCAACTTGTGAAAATATATCAAGCTGTCCATACATGATTTATGTTATTTTACGTATGCATGCATGAATTGTATGTATTTTATATTAAAAAATATTGTTTTGAGATCTATTCATATTGGATCTTAGAGGTCTCATTTATTCATTTTAACTCTGGTTTATAAACAGACACAGTTTTTTTATTGATTCCTTTACTGGACTTCTAGGTTGTTTCCTGTTTTCCTGTTTCAAATAATGTTGTAGACAGTATTCTTTTACATGGCTTCTTGTAAAAATATATGAGAGTTTCTCTAAGACGTATAACTAGAAGTGGCATTAGTGGGTCCTAGTGTAAGCTCAACTTTAGCTTATCAAATTATTTTCCAAAATGATTGTATGTAGGAGTGATGGAAAGTTCCCATTGCTATATATACTTGTCATCACTTTTGTCAACCTTTAAAATTTTGCTAATACGATGGGTGTGAAATGGTATCTCCTCAGTATTGTAATTTGTATTATGTGGCCATATGGATTTTCTCAGGGTTCCCCCCCCCCCATTTTTCACTGTTGGGAAATAACCTGTTCATAATTTTGTACATTTTTTATGGTTAATTTTAACATTTTTCTTGATTTATGTGCAATTTGCCTTGATTCTCAAAGTCCATATATTGAGAGAGACCTCCATTTGTGATTTTAACACATTGCTAGAATTTCAGCTGTAGACTTTAGCTTTGGAGTAATTCAACCTTCCTAAGAATATTTTTCCTTCAGGCCCTTTGTCCTGTCCCTGTTTGCCTGCCATCGCTCCTTCCAGTTTTACTAGCACATTTCAGCTATAGGGGCTTTTTTATCCCTCCTCTTTGTTGATGAGAAAGGGTAGTTGTGATATGGGGAAGGGGAAATGATAAATAGAAAAATGAATAAAAATTTGACAAGTTTATAAAATTAATATAACTATGTATAAAATATGGTTATGACCATTCTTAGTTGTTTGATTTATGTATTTGAAATAAATTCCAGATCTGGCATTCTACAAAGGCCAGTTATTTCGTTGTGTATTGTCTCCCTTGTAGATGCTTATCATTATCTGATGTGTGTGTGTGTGTGTGTGTGTGTGTGTGTGTGTGTGTGTGTGTGGAGGGGCAGGAAGAGAGGGAGAGAGATTATTACTTGATGAGTTTCGTGTGTATGTGTATATAGTTTGTGGTCTGTCAGTGTGCTGTCTGCTGCTTATATATGAGGTCTGTGCAGTGCTGTTATCCACTGGATTCTTGAGACAATTCCATGTATTCATGACATCCAGAGTAATTCTGTTAACAGTTCAAAACCCTCTTCCTCCAGTGCCACTTGTGCTTTGATGTTTTTGTGATCTTAGAGAGAAAATGACCAAGCACCAAATCGTTGTGCTTCCCAGGTACAGAGGTAACTGGTCTGGAGTAAAGGAGCTGATAGAAATAGGCTTTTCCTCTTTGTCTTCTTGGCAGTGTGGTAATATTAGCAAGGGCTTGGAGTTCCTGAACTGTTTTCCGAGAGTCACGGAGCCTTTGAGGTTAGGGAACCTTCATCACAGAACATCCTGGCCCAGATTTCTTCAACATTCCTTACTGCCACTGACTTCTGCTTTAAGTAGGATCAGTGCCAGAGGAAAAGCTCATGACTCCTGGCCATGGTCACAAAACCTTGGCTGATTTTGATCCTGCAGCATATTCTCTTGGCATGAACCTTTTGGAGAGAGGTGCCAGTTTAGCAGGGCTTCACTAGGAATTCTCTTCCTAGAATAGAATCTGATTTTTTTTTTAATGGTTTAATGTAACTCATGAAGAAACTTGAGTCTTAAGTCAGTGTAGAATGACTTAAATTCCCAATTTATCAAGATTACAAATCTTCTTTGTTAAGAAATAGAAAGGCTGTAAACAATACAATTAAGTTCGCTGTATGACCAAAGCAGTATAAACTTTGGCAGTTAATTTAGAGGTGTTGATTTAAAGTGTTTTCTGGGGGCCCCTGGGTGGCTCAGTCGGTTAAATGTCCAACTTTGGCTCAGGTCATGATCTCGTGGTTTGGGAGTTTGAGTCCCGCTCAGGTTCTGTGCTGATGGGTCAGAGCCCGGAGCCTTCTTTGGATTTTGTGTCTCCCTCTCTCTCTGCCCCTCCCCTGCTCGTACTGTCTCTCTGTCAAAAATAAAACATTAAGAAAAAGTTAAAAAATTAAGTGTTTTCTGTATTTTAGAGAAAACTCTAAATAAATCCTGAGTATGCTGATCCCAGGCTTTATTTTTCTATAAATTATATAAGTAATAAAGATTTTTTTTTCCCTAAGCACCATGTCATTTTCACACTTAAAAAATTAATAATTCCAGTAATATTATTCCAAATTTCCCCAATTGTCTCAAATCTTTGCTTTTGATTGCTTCATTTTATCTATAATATTCCACCAGCCCTCCCCACTTCCCACTCTGCGTTTTCAGGCCATTGATTTATTGGAGAAATCAGGTCCTCCTCTGCCCTGTAGGTTGTCCCACTTGCTGGCTTTGACTTCTTGCTTCTTGGGGTGGTATTTAACTTGATCCCCTCTCCCCAGTAGTCCCTGTAAACTGGTATTTAGAATGAAAGGCTTGATTAGGTTCAGCCTAGTTTTCCCTTTCCCCTTTTCTTTCCTTTCAGTGTTACGCACTTGCTATTGGGTCACTTCTTGATACATATTCTGTCTGGTTGTCCCCATTTAGTTACTCTAAGATTAATGTGTGGATTCTCCTGGTACACTATTACTCTTTTGGTGCAGAGGTACCCATTAGAATTACTTCAAAGCTTTTGAAGATTCTGAAGAATCCTAGATTCTATTTTAGCAGGTCTGATGGGGTTGGGAAAACACATCTATTAAAAAACACATGGAGAAATAAAAACCCTCTACGTTTACTCAGATGTGGGAAGAATCATTATCTTTAATACATTTAACATGTAATTAGAGTGACAAAATTTACTTTTATGCAGGTGCTTTGGGGAATGTATGTTTTGTCACAAATAGAGCATAATTAAAATTATTAACTGGAGATGTTTGAGGCTGCTGTGGTGTAATAGAAAAAGCAGTGACTTGGACCCAGGTGGCCAAATCACTTACTCTCTGCAAGACATTGTTTTAATCTAGAAAACAGGAATAATAAGATATTTGTGATAGGCTTGTTTTAATGATTAAATGAAATGATTTATTTGGAAGCAGTCCAGCACTTGGTGGTCAGTTGAATGGAAATCTGGAAAGCATTACAGTAACAGATTTTTTTCAATCGAGGTCTTTAGAGTAAAAACTTAGGAGAATGAAGTAACTATGTCTCATGTGCTTATTTTAGCTGTATCTGTATAAGCTTTTGTTCTTGAGCTTGTTTTTTGAGTGATAGGAGACTCGTGATACATAGTTTTAATATACGTGTAATTAATGTGGCCTTTTGAGAAAAACATCATGTGGAAATCTTACCTTTTTCCCCCCTTATTTTCAGCTTCATTTACCTCTTAATTCTCCTTTGCCTGGAAGTGAATTGACCAAGGAACCTTTTCGTTGGGATCAGAGACTCTTTGCACTAGTGTTGCGGTTGCCTGGCACCATGTCAGTAGAATCAGAACAGTTGACAGGTGTGCCTTTAGATGACTCTGCGATCACACCAATGTGTGAAGTGACAGGCGGTAAGTTTTTCTCCTGGCAGTAATCCAGTGAGTTAAGGCAGAGTTTGAATGTTTTAAAATGCACATTTCAAAAACTCCATGTTGTCGTTCAACACGCTAATGGTAGGAATTAGTAGACCTACATGGTTTTAAAAATCCATTGATGAATGTCTGTGATCTGATTTGAATGGGGTTTAATACTATTGGATCTGAAATGAGTGGTCTTTTTCCTCTACCCATATAGAAAGTGCTGGTATTTGAAGTTGTTAAACTTTTTTTCTTCTCTATAAAGATTACCAGTATTTACAAGTGTGGCAGAATTATTTTCTGTGAAAAATGCGGAGAATTTTGAGAATCATCTCATCAACCATATAATGATCAATGCCTGGTTAAGTGCTGTTTCCCCTAGAGGCAAAGAGAAAGCTGGATAGCAGGTTAGAGGACCAGGTAGCGAGGTCTTACCCATCTGGTCCCTGTGTTAAGTGAACAGTAATGATACTCTTGAAAGAAAATATGTAACAGACTCAGAACTTCTGTAATGTGGAATTGGTCAGCAGGTGGGTTAAATTCATACTGATAGGTATTGAGTGTCTACTGTGTATGAAACACTATCTTATGCTTTCAGACTTCAGTAGTGAGTATGACAGGCAACGGTATTCTTGCTTTCACGGAGCATTTTAGTTCTCATCTAAGGAATTTGATACTAAAATGTCCAGGTCTGGCATACCACTATTTCACCTGTGTCAGAGGCCTGTGACATTATTAGTCTCCAGACACAGTCATAGCCAGCTGTATCAGTTTAAAGGAAAATACGAGATTTAATTAACATTTTAGGTACCTTTCTTCAATTCTGTGGGGAGTTTGGAAATCTGCAAAATTCACAGACAAAACAGGTCCCTACACAGATATGTAAAGTAGATAATTAAGAAGTTGTTTTCACATTATTAAATGTTCTTATTTATAGAAGTACTTTCTGGTGAACTCTTATAATTCTTTCAGTTTAATTTATATTAAAAAAAAAGTTATATACATACATCTTAAAGGGAAAACCTGTCTATCGAAATGTGAAAATTCACTGCTAACAATTCCTTGTGCATGAATAATATTTTTCAGTGACAGCCCCAATTGTTCTATGGGTAGATTCACATTTGTATTCAGAAAAGTTTAGTTTTTAGCCTTGAACTGACTTACTTCCTAAAATCCTGATACATCTATCTATCTATCTATCTATCTATCTATCTATCTATCTCTATACATAGATAGGTAGATAGATAATATAATTTTTTTTTAGTTCTAGTTTTTAATTAACAGATTGAAGTCCTTGAAGCTGTAATTAACACTTTTGCATTGGAAATTTTTTTACTATATATTATTTACTCAGAATTAGGATAAAGTTATGGGACTATATGTACTGTAACTTTGGTCTTCTAGAATCAAGAATATTCAGAGTGTGAAATGAAGTGAGTGGTATAAGCAGAGAGGGTCTGCAGTGAACCTGAGAGATCATGTAGTGGTTAATATCCTTGCCTTTGGCAGTAATGTACTAAAGCTATTCTGCTTATTCTTTGAAAGGAACATCTCCAGATGAAGTCACCCTTGGTAATATCTTTCAATGACCCAGAAGCCTTGGTCAGGAAAAGCTTCCCCAAATACATATCCTCAATGTCTCCTGATGTAGTGGTTTATTTGCCTCTTTTCATGCTCTTGCTATAGCAATAATGAGAAGCTGCTCAATGCCACTCACCTTTTCATAGATCTGAATAATATGTATTCCTTTTTTATTATTTTAAAACGAAAGTTTTACTAACGAAAGTTTTGAGGATAAAGCACTAGAAAAGTAGAAAGAACAGAAAAGTTAAACCCACTAGTATTGCACTATCCAGATATATAATCACTACTAACAATTCCTGTGCATTTTTAAACTTAATGGTAAGAGTAGTGTATGTTCATTTGTTTTGCCTTCATAGAATAATTCTTGTTTACTAAGGAAAAGTTGGAAAGAAATGTGCCTGTGTTGCCAAAATCATTAGTATTTTGTTATGTTTTCTATGTGTACTTTAAAAAAATTATATAATTGTCATTGTAAGCAATTTTCTTTTATTATCAGCTAATGAATGAGTATCCACTCTATATAACTGTTCTTGGTGCTGGAAATACAGCAGGAACAATAATAAGCAAAGGTTACTTTTTTGGACTGTGTGATAGATAAAATCATAAAATGAATAGACACTTTTGGAGAGTGCTACTTACTATGAAGAAAATGTAGGGTAAGGGTGTAGAGAATAACTTGAGGCAGAGAATGAGTGTTCTTAGAAGGTCTTTTGAGGAGGTGACTTTTTTTTTTTTAAGCCATAAACCTAAAAGATACGCTTACCCCTCCTAGTTTGAATCAATTTAATATATTAGTTATCCTCGGAGATTATTATACTTGTTTAAAGAAATAAAACATTTATTTATTTTTTTAAAGAGTTTTTTTTTTTTAACGTTTATTTATTATTGAGAGACAGAGAGACACGGAGCATGAGCAGGGGAGGGGCAGAGAGGGGGAGCATGAGCAGGGGAGGGGCAGAGAGAGGGGGAGACACAGAATCCGAAGCTGACTCCAGGCTCTGAGCTGTCAGCGCAGAGCCCGACGCAGGGCTCGAACTCACGACCTGTGAGATCATGACCTGAGCTGAAGGTGAAGTCAGTTGCCCAACCAACTGAGCCACCTAGGTGCCCCAACAACATTTATTTTATAAATTACATTTGTATATCTCTAACCTTAAAGGTAAAGCCGCTTGTTTTAATAGGGATTAAGTCAATCTTAGTTGTGTCTTAAAAATACTAATCTCTCTAAAATTATTGTTACAGCATGTTCACTGAATCTTTATTGAGGTAGAACTGACCTACAGCGTATTAGTTTCAGGTATATAGCATAATGGTTTGATATTTTATATATCGTAAAATGATCCCTCACAGTAAGTCTACTTAACATTTGAGCAAAGATCTGAATAATGGAGTAAACCATACAGAGAGATGTAGTAAGGGAAGGAACACACTCTGTATTTTGGTGAGCGGCAGGAAGGCTGATGTGAAGTAGAGAGTAAACAGGTGGGTTTAGGGCAGTAGGCAAAGGACAAATATCAAATAACCTTTTAGGCTATAATAAATATTATTTCCAAATATGACGAGAAGCACTGGGGCTTTTTATATAGGAGGTGACATCTGATTTCCTTATCTGAAAGATCACTTCAGCTGTTGGATGAGAATATAGCGTAAAGTGGCAAGAATAGAAACAGAGAGGCTGGTTAAGAGATGACAGTACTTTGGTCTAAAGTGCTGGGTTTGTGGGTGGTGAGAGGTGGTCTGATGCAAAGGGGAACTAAGGATGAAGGCAGTGAGGGAAGAATGAATCAAGGATGACCTGAATATTGGAGGTAAATGGCTATGACATGGACTGAGGTGGCACACCAGGGAGAAGCAGGTTTGGAGGCGGTACAGTGCTATCAAGTCAGAAAATGCTCAATGGAGATGATGGTAGAAGCATTTTACAAAAATTGTGTAAGATTGTAGAGTAAATCAGTTTAACTTTCTTAGCCTCTACAAGGACTGTTGCTCAACTTACTGGAAATATTCTTTTTATCTCTTTTCCATTTGACTAAAATGCTGGTGTAGTAGGCTTCTGTGGGAGAATATTTTTTTGCACTTTTGCCTTTAGACTCACTTTATTTAGTTTGATGTTTTTGTGGACTCTACACAACAATAAGTGAGCCAGCTTCTTGACTGTGAGGTGTGTGCCTGTCTCACAAACATAAGCAGTGATCCTAGAAACTTATTGCTTCAATACAAAGGGTCGTACAGTACAAGAGATGAGTTTTGATCTAGAGAATAAAAGAAATATTACATAGGATATAGGCTTACTTTGTAAAGATGCCAAAATTTCCTATTTCCTCTTTAACTTTCAAAGGAATTAATGGATTTTTATTACTTGCCAGGAAACTTAAGTTTATTAGCTTTTTCTTTAATTTTAATAAAGTATCTTTGTAATTCTATTTTATACTAAGATTATAACTCATTTACTCATGTTTTTCTAATCAACCGATGATGACACAGGTTAGAAGAGCAGAGAGAATTGCTACAATTACACTTTAGAAACTTTTGGTTTTTTTTTTATGACTTCTTAGGAATATGCTTAAATTTAACGAAATAAGATATTCAGCCTCTATATAATCTTCTAAATACTTTGTGTATTAAGATGATCAGCCTTTCTATATATTGCTTTATATATGTTTGACTCAAAAATATTTTAATCTGCCAATTCTTTCAAATAAGTGTGGTTCCCTTTAGGCATTCTTTTTAAAATACTAATTTCAAATTAACATCATGATTTCCAGGGAAAAGAGTATACCCAGATTAAAGTTTCTAATAACCTGTAAGGGTTTGACTCTTGGCTGTACTGCTGTTATTAATTTGGATAAATTAACCTCTCTGTGCTTTAGTTTTCTCACTTATAAAATGAAGAAAGTAACCCATACAGTTGTGGTTAGGATTAAATAAATTAATATGATAAAGTAAGTAGAATAGTGCCAGGCATGTAGACACTCAGTAATTGGTTGATATTTTTATGATTACGACTATTATTATTGCATACAGGTAAGTTGTTTGTTATATGATACTTGTTTTTCTAAGTAGAGCTGACTCTGAGGATTTGAATCCTACTACTGCCTAATGTTTTCGTTTCTGAGTAGCCTTTCGCAAATCACATGTTAAATATAAACTGATATGAGTAATTTGATAGGTCAAATATAATCATATAACTGTATTTGGAAATAATTGATGGAATCAGAAAAAATAGTAGGACTGTTTTCATAGTGACCTAATTGCAGATAACATTGTAAGATGTTTGAAGGTTTTCACCATTGGTTTGGATCAACACCTATGAGAGAAATATGATACAAGTTACATATGTAATCATAAATATTATAGTGGTCACTTAAAAGGTGAAATTAATTTTAATATCTTTTAAGTCAATAAATAAAAATATTTCAACATGAAAATGATATTTAAAAATTATTGAAATAGTTTACATTTTTCCTATTAACTTTACAAAATCAGGTGTATATTTTATGGTTAGTATACATCTAAATTTGGACTAGTCATATTTCAAGTTCTCAGTAGCCATATGTGGCTGATGGTTACAGTATGGGATAACACAGCTCTAGATATATTTATTGAAAATCCCTGTTTAAGAGATCTTTTCACTAGTATTTTGTTTTAACCACTAGCATTTTAAATGCTTTGTACTAAAAATCCTATAGGTTAAAATATACAAAAGGGAAATTCATTGAAGATAGGTTAATTCCCAACTACGCAAACCAGATGAAATTCAGAAAAGCCCATGCTACCATCTATTTGTTAAAGTGCAAATGTTTAAAATATGCAGTAATTTCCATCAGACCAATTAAATAATTATTGATTATCTGCCATGTGCTTAGCATTAATCTTAGTGATAATATTTTTGTTGAGCAGGAGTAAGATTTTGAAGGTTAGTTATTAGATGTTGTGTATGTGTATGAAAGATAAATTGGTAACAGTTGGGAGATAATTTTAAAAATGCATTTTAAGTTATATCTTATATAATATGCATATATACTACATATATAAGTATATAATGCGATTTTTTCATTGTTGTTTGTTCAGACCAAATTTCTATTTTCTGTATACCTATATTTAGAAGAAAAAGTTTACATACTCTCATAAAATGGAATTGTTGGTTGATTAAAAATAACTAGTTTTCTTCATTTTCCCATAAGATCATGAAATAAAGTCAAACTTTACCATTGAACTTTTGTTAATAGTATCAGAAACCTCACTATGGTTCTGTCTTGCTGAAGGTAGAAATTTCTGCAACTAACTTTATTCTTTTTATCTCAGGCCGTTCATACTCTGTATGTTCTCCAAGAATGCTTAATCAATGTCTGGAGTCCTTGGTACAGAAAGTGCAAAGTGGGGTGGTAATAAACTTTGAAAAAGCAGGACCAGATCCTTCCCCCGTAGAAGGTATTATTATACTTTTCTTATAGACATTCTAAATTTCATCATTGAACTAGAACTGAAAAATTACCATGATTTGGCTTTAAGATGGACAAGGTCAAATTGTTGAGATGACAAAATGGCTATTGGTAAAGAGGGAAAACTAAACAGGAAAGTCAAGGTGAACTGCTAGTGGTTCAGTAGCATCACTTTTTTATATTGATTGTTGATAGCCTGAAATTTTTATAGGAGTCGAAAACCTTATTAACCATTTGCAGATTAGCCACCTTATATTTTGTTTTTAGGAAAAAGTGTGCCACTTTGCTTCTCCCCAGCATATATGCTTCTCCTGTGTCCCATAAGTCACAAGAGTGTTCCACCCTAGGTGTTTATTTCCTTAGCTGCATTTTTGTAAGGATCAAACTGGTCAGAAACAAATAAATGGTTTGTGTGGTTACAAAAATGAGAAACTAGCCTTTGCCATTAAGCTGGACTCTATTAACTCTAGTTTAGCCCCACCTGACTTTATTTTAATATTCTGTTATCATGAACTATTTCTATTAGCTAGAGGGCATAAGGGGTTACACTAGAACCAACGGACAGCTTATATCTGGGACCCTCTATGTAGTATGGCATTGCTTAGAACAAGAATTAGAAAGTCATTAATGACACCTGGCAGAGGTTGTCCACTACAGTGGGTAGCTGGGAGAAGAGAAAAGTCATAAAGATAAAAAAAATGGGTACTCTCGGAGGAGGATTATAGGGAAGGAGCAGAAGATGGTAAGATTATAGACATTATGTCACTGTCTCTGGTTTAAATAAACAAGCTTTTTCTTTAATTGAATTCTTAGACATGGGATGTATTTTTGAGTTATTTTAATATTTGGCTTAGAGTTAGGCACCAAGTAAATGTTTATTGAACTGTTGAAGACAGTTGCTATTTTGCTAGAATAAGTTTAGATTAAAGGTAGGTGCTTTGTATCTGGATTTGCATATTAAATTTTTTTAGTTAAATGGGCTTTAGTTAAAATGATTTGAAAGAAATATTCATTTAGCAGTATTTACCTAGCATTTACTAAGCTAAGAATGATGATGAAGAGATTGGGTGTTTGCCCTTATCATCTGGTAGGGAAAACCTATCATTCATTAAACAAGTATTTACCATAAAGGAGATTTTACATATTCTGACTCGGCAAGCAAAGGATACTGTGGGACCTCCTTTCAAATGTTGAACTCATAGTTGGAATTTGCAGAATTTACTCTCTCATGATTTTAATATAAATGTTAAGTAGTCATGATAGTAGAACCATTCAAGAAAAATGGGAAAACTCAGACATTTTCATTAAGCAACGTAACAGTGGATATAATTTAACTTTTTTGCTTTTTTCCTTATTGACATATGCTTTCTTTGTCTTCATTTCTTTGCTACAGATGGGCAGCCAGATATATCAAGGCCTTTTGGATCACAGCCCTGGCATAGCTGTCACAAACTCATATATGTGAGACCAAATCCTAAAACTGGGGTTCCTATAGGTCATTGGCCCGTTCCAGAATCTTTTTGGCCAGATCAGAATTCTCCAACACTAGTAAGTACCTGAGAGACTGTGACTTTGTAATAGTAACCATTTAACTGCTTTTTTTTTTTTTTTTTTTTTTAAGATTTTTCATTTTGAGAGAGAGAGAGAGAGAACACACGTGGGGGGGGGGGGGCGGGGGCGGGGTGTGGCAGGCAGAGAGAGAAGGAGACTGAGAATCCCAAGCAGGCTCCGTGCTGTCAGCGCAGAACCAGATGTGGGGCTCGAACTCCTGAACTGTGAGATCATGACCTGAGCTGTAGTCAGATGCTTAACTCACTGAGCCACCCAGGTGCCGCTTAACTGCTTTTCATACTAGTTTTAAGAACTGCTATCAAAGGTGTGGCTAATTTATTGGAATTAGACAATGTTCAAAGTGCTATGGTAAGCTGTTACTTGATTTAGTACACTGTATTGTTATGAAGTAGTAGGAAAAAAAGGTGTCTGTTTTCTTTAGAATCTAATACTATGCTTATGTTTTTATGATTGGCATCTGGATGCAAAATCATAGATGGAACAAGAGTTTCTCTTTGATCTCTAAATATAATATGAGGGTTTGTCTCTAGGACACAATTTAGAATTTAAATGAAAGTTTAGAAAATAGTTCCAGTTGTTTGTTTGTAATCTTTTAGGACGTAGTCTTAGAAATTCATGTAGACTTTCATGGTTTTAGGTTATGTTCAGTGTTCTCATTCAGAAGTTTAAGGTAGAAATGACTTTCTAGTCTTGTTTACATGAATTATTTTTAGAAACGGTGGGGCTTCTTGAATGATCATTGTGAATTATCAGTATTCACTATATGGTTCTTATAGTGATAGGATAACCTTATGTAAATTAATATCTATTCGGTGTTGTTAATACACTGTTTTTTCAGATCAACATTTTTTTCTGGTATCTGAAGGTTTATAGGATACTGTGTGGGAGAACATGACAGTAGTTCTTTGCTATTACCCTTAGAAGATAGGAACTGTATTTCAAAGATCATGAAGCAGTTTGAACAATGTTTCATGCAGTTATCCTATATGAATTAAACTGAACCCTTTCTGAAACCTTTATACTTCATTATTTTTATTTTAATTCTAGTTAACATACAGTGTTATATTAGTTTCAGGTGTGCAATATGGTGAGTCGGCACCTCCATACATCACCCTGTGCTCATCACAGTGCTCTGTTTAATCTCCATCACCTATTTCACCCATCCCCTGCCGACCTCCCCTTGTAACCATCAGTAATTGAGAGTGCTTCTTGATTTGTCTCTCTTATTTTTTTCCTTTTGCTTCTGTGTTTTGTTTCTTAAGTTACACATGAGTGAAATCATATGGTATTTTGTCTCCCTCTGATTTATTTTGCTTAGCATAATATTCTCTAATTCCATTCATGTTGTTGCAAATGGCAAGATTTCATTATTTTTATGGCTGAATAATATTCCATTGTATTTATATACCACATCTTCTTTATCCATTCATCTATTGATGGACACTTGGGCTGCTTCCATATTTTGGCTGTTGTTGATAATGATGTTGCACTGGGGTGCATGTCTCCCTTCGAATCCGTATTTTTGTGTCCTTAGGGTAAATACCTAGTAGTGCAATTGCTGGATTGTAGGGTAGTTCTAGTTTTCACTTTCGGAGGAACCTCCGTACTGTTTTCTACAGTGGCTGTACCAGTTTGCATTCCCACCAAGAGTGCACAAGTTGAAACCTTTATACTTTAAACCTATATCAACTCTTCAGGGACTTTTTACTTTTACTCTATACAGGTCTATAAAGTGATATTTCCTTTATTTAGTAGGGATTTAATGAAGTAATACATGAAATTAAGGCTTTATAAATTTTAGTGAAGTATCTTCTTTATTCCTTTCCTTGTTCTGATTGAATCATCATAGTTTTAAAATCTGGCCTTTATAGATAAACTCTTAATTTCTTTTGTCATTTTACTTTCCCTTTGGGTGTCCATTCAACTTTCATAGAACAGATACTGTGTTTGTGTCAAATATTGCCTTGTTGGTTATTCATTCTATTGTGTATATGTGTAGTACTTGTTAAGTCCTAATAGAAGGAAATCCAAAACCAGTGTCACAAGCATAATCTATTAATACTGCTCTAATGGCCTATTGCAAGTTGTTAGAGGATTTTTAAGTGTGGGTAGGATTTCAGTTGGGGAGGAAACAATATGAGAAAAAGTATGGAAGTAAAAAAGAACAAGGTGTATTTAGAGGAATGAGAAATAGCAGAGTATAGGTGGGTCATACCATGTATGTGGGACGTTGAGAACACTATTAAATAAACCAAAGTACTCACGACTTTAAATGCATGGTTAAGGAATTTGAGCTTTTCTCATTGGGGTTCACAGAATAAGTGAAGATATTTTTAACAGAGTGATGCTGTAGGAAATTTAATCTGGTGGTTGTCATATGCAGCAATATTAGGAGATGAGTTGGAAAGAAAGCAGGTTATCTAGAGGGCTATTGCTATGATTCACGTAAGAAATGTTGAGAGTTTGAATTAAGATGATGGAAGAGAGAATCATAAAGAGACAATATTGGAAAGCACTGGCAAGATTTAGTACTGAAGGATATATTAGTGGGGAAATGAAATTTTTATAAATAATAGTATTGAAATAAGATGCAATGATACTGAAATTAAATGTGAGTTTTAGCAACTGGTTCTGAATTTTTATTTTTTGTTTTGTTTAAATAGATTTTTTCATTTTTTTATTTTTATGTTTTGAAATATACCTACCTTTTTTTTAGGTTCATTTATTTATTTTGAGAGAGAGGCAGTGGGGGCAGGAGAGGGCAGAAAGAGAAGGAGAGAGAGGGAGAGAGTCCCAAGCAGGCTCCGCATTGTCAGCACAGAGGCTAATTCGAGGCTCAAACCCACAAACTGTGAGATCATGCATGACATGAGCCGAAACCAAGAGTCTGACTGAGCTACCCAGGTGCCTCTAAGTAGATGTTTTTTAATGTTCATTTATTTATTTTGAGAGAGAGGGAGAGAATCCCAGGCAGACTCTGCACTGTCACTGCAGCCCAGAGTAGGACTGGAACTCACAAACGGTGAGATCACAACCAGAGCCAAAATCAAGGGTCTGTCACTTAACTGACCGAGCCACCCAGCCGCCCCTGGTTCTGAATTGAAATCATGGTTCCACGAGTTATTAGCTGTGAGTTTGGTCTGTTATCTTCTCTAAGCCTCAATTTCCTGTCTGTTAAATGGAGATAATAGCTCCTATCTCATGGGATTGTTTTGGGGATTAAATGAAGTAATAAATGCAAAATTTTCTTTGTCACGTTCTGGAAGACACCCTCTCTCACCAACACACATTGTTGCTCTTGGATCTCAATATTTTAATCCAAAAAGATAAGTGAGTTTCATGGACTGATTCAGTAAGATATGTGTCAGTTACATGCAAGATACAGGAGCACAGTATGAGTAAAACGATGGTGCTTACCTTCTAAAATGATGGCATCTTACCATTCCATAGGAAGGTCAGACTTGTAACTGTAAACACAGTACACTACAGTGCTCTAACTGTGCTAAAGGCATGGAGCAGAGCCGAGAGGAGGTGATGCCTAAATGCCTGGTATGTCCTGGGGGTGTAGGGCAAGAAAGGGTGTCAGGGAGAAAATCTCTGAGACATTTTACTTGCCAGTTCAGACTTCAAGACTTAGTTTGTTTGCCAATATGCAAGGAAGAAAATAATAAAGCTGCCAGGGATGACATGAAAGCAGGAGTGTGAAAAGATGATGATCTACTTGCGTAACTTGCAAGTCTTTTGGCATGGCTGGAGCGTGGGGTGTACACGGTGTGCGGTGGTTGAAGGCAGATGGGGACCGGATCATCAAGGCTCTTTGTATCTGATGTTTAGAGAAAAGAGTCTGGGTCCTATTTTTAGGTGATTAGCTTGCTACTTTTACCAAATAATTGCAGATAGGGAAATGACATGATCATATTTATATTTTGTGGCTATGGGATTGATTGGAGGGAGCTAATTAGGGCCATTAAAAATAAGTAGTTGTACTAGTCTAGTCTGAGAAATGATGATGGCATAAATTAGAATACTAAGAAATAAAAGATAAATTTCTAGAGAGTGAGAATTTAGTACTGACAGAGGGCAGTAACTAAATACTGAGCACCTGCCAAGTTGATGTGTTCTGCCTGGTGGTTTAGAATTTGCGGGATTTTATCTAGGCCTTTGTGATAGTTAAATATGGAGGATAAAGAGATGTTAAGGATAACCAACCCCTAGGTTTTTAGAACAGGTTTTGTAGCTTAGGGGAGAAGTAACGAATTGCATAATAATGTATTTCAGGGACTTCTGTCTAGTAGGCAGTTGGAACATAAGAGAGGTGAGAGAGATCCGGTCCCAATACGGTGGATTGGGAGCCACCAGGGTGTAGGTAGTAATGGAGTAATAAGAGTCTTTCATACTGTGAAATTTCAGGTTATTTCTTCAGAGCTTACATTTCCTTCAATTGGTGAGATTTTCAGGAAGGAGACTATTTGGCGGGCAGGGATTCTAACATGTCTTTGTTTTTCCTTTAAGGTATTTTGGTTTTTTGTACTTTTAGATCAGGTTCTCCAAAGTAGTGTGTATATACCACAGAGGTAACCAAATGGTCTACTGGAATAGGGAAGGAAAACATTAGAACTTCTTTTTATGTATGTTTTTCTCCGAATTTTAATATTATTTTGGTATATATCTTATTACATACTTATACGTTAATTTACAGATAATTTATAAGTAAATGTGTATATGTCCTAATATATATTCAGCAATTTTTACTGACCACAAGGTCTATTATCAGTTTGGAAGCTACCACTCCATACAAGAAATTAAATTGCTACAGTTGAGAACTTAGTAAGGTTTCTGTACTTCAGTTGTTTCCTAGATGTGACAATTAGGAGTACTCACTTATTCCAAAATTTTGCACTTCTGACAAATTTGATTTTACCACCTAAAAAGATTTTTATCCTATATATAAATGGTTTGTCTTTTTCTTGTATTACATAAAATTTAAGCATTACATTTTAAAGTATTTTCTTTCAGCTTTAATAGTGTAGTCAGTAGTAAATTAAACTAACCAGCAAAATTGAGGACTTGAGTAAATTTTGATAGTGAGGGATATGGAAAATGAGTTTGTTCTGGTATTTTGTGTAAATAGTAATAATAAGACTTCCCTCTCTAGCCACCTCGTACATCTCATCCTGTAGTGAAGTTTTCCTGTACAGACTGTGAACCGATGGTTATTGACAAATTGCCTTTTGACAAATATGAGTTGGAACCTTCGCCACTGACTCAGTTTATCCTGGAAAGGAAATCTCCTCAAACATGTTGGCAGGTGAGCTGAGCAACTACAGTGACCTAAAAATTGAAGTTGGATGTTTTTTTCTTTTTAAGTTAAAGTTAAGTTGAATCAATGGTTTCAATAACATTCTGTAAAGGTTATTAAATGTGAAGTTTCAACCACTCCCTTTTAACAGGTATATGTGAGCAATAGTGCAAAATACAGCGAGCTCGGTCATCCCTTTGGTTACTTGAAAGCCAGTACAGCACTGAACTGTGTCAACTTATTTGTGATGCCTTACAATTACCCCGTCCTCTTGCCCCTTCTAGGTAAGTCACTCGTGTCCCATTCTCAGTGGCTCAGCATACATACTGATTTTCCTAAAAACAAAGATTGGGAACATGTCTTTGTAAGTTCTCATGTTTTGTGGAAATTAACGGAACTGTTGTTAATACTCTGAAATATCGAACCTATCTAAGGTTGTTTTATAGCAACCTGTGTATGTTTGTGGTAAATTAAAAGTCAGTGTCAAAACACCTTTGATTCTACAAACTATTGAAGATACTGTGTTTTAAATTTTTAAGTATTCCAAGTTTTCTACAAGTTAGCTTTCTTACATAGTGAGAATTGGTAATAGAGGCTTTGTATTTGGTAAATAAGGATTTTTGTAGAAGCATATATTTATAGATCTGAATGTATTTTCTTTCTAAGAATTTATCTATAATTTTCATTTGGCACATGCTTGTCTATTTTTTTTAGAGAGAGAGAGTGTGCATGTGAGTGGGGGAGAGTGACAGAGGGGGACAGAGAGAAAGGAAGAGAATCTTAAGTAGGCTCCATACTCAGCACAGAACCTGACGTGGGACTTGATCCCAGGACCTTGGGATCATGACCTGAGCCAAAATTAAGAGTCGGACGCTCAACCGACTGAGCCATCCAGGCACATATTTTTTAAATGAATGAATGTGTTCCAATGATATAATAAAAGCCTAAAGTTAGTTTCTGGGGACCCTCTGGCTATAATTTTTGAGCAGCACTGTTGGAGAAGACTTCTATGCATGGAACCACTTCAGATTTAAATATTATCATCAAAAAAAAATTTATAGTCAAAATATTAGTAGGTATATTTTATTGAAAACATTGTGTATACTTTGTTTCTGTCCTCAAATCTGTTTTATGTTGAGGTCTAGATAGTGTACAGATTTTCTTGTGTCTTATCTGAGTCTACCTTTATTTCATGAAATATTAGATCATGATTAGCATCTTTTTGTTTTTAAAATGGTATTACTGCTCAATGGCAGAACCAAAATTTTGCCACTATTAATTTTGTTAAAAATTGATGTCTGATATGTTACTCTCTTACAAATAAGAAAGCAGTGTTTAAAAATGAAACGTGCTTGACTTGATTTTCGTGTCTGAAAAAAATGATGATAGTTTGTTCACATTCATTTATAGATGACTTGTTTAAAGTACATAAAGCAAAACCAACATTGAAGTGGAGACAGTCATTTGAAAGTTATTTGAAGACAATGCCTCCCTACTATCTTGGGGTAAGAATGTGATTGTTAAAAATAGAACTTGTTACAAAATTTTACATTATGTTTATAGTTTACTTGTATTTACTGCTGTTATAGGATATATAAAATATATAAATGTCATGAAAATTGAGTGTACAAATGACCGATAAAGATGTAATGGGAAAGAAAGGTTTCAGTGATTTGTGGAATAAAGATGATGGCAATGATAATGACGATGAGAACATGTATATAATGCTTACCTTAGGCCTGATATTATGCTAAGTATTTTACCTCATTTAGTTTATATGGTAATCTTTCAAGGTAGAGATCATCATTCCTATTTCATAGATGAGGAAACTAAGGTATTAAAAGATTAAGTAATTTGTCCAAGGCTACTTGTGTGGGAGACTGGAATTTACTCCCAGGCAGCCTGGCTTTTAGAATAGCTCCAATTGTTGTACTGCCTTGTTAAAAACTGCAGAATAGTTTTGTTGCATTATTCCCTAAATCTCTAAAAACATGTTTTTAGGTAGATAAGTATATATTCTTATAGACTCCTATTTTTAGAACCACGAGATTATGATTACAGTTGACCCTTGAACAACACAGGTTTGAAGAGGATAGGTCCACTTATATGTGGATTATTTTCAATAAATATAATGGAAAAATTTTTTTAGATATGTGGCAATTTGAAAAACTCTCAGATGAATCGTATAGCCTGAAAATATATAAAAAAAAAAAAATCAAGATAAACCTCAGAGTTACTGTAAGAATACAGTCTTTAATACATATTGCACAGAAAATTTGTGTGAATTGATTATGTTATTAGTAAGGCTTCTGGTCAATAGCAGGCTATTAGTTAACTTTTTGGGGAGTCAAAGTTATCTGCGGATTTTTTATTGTGCGGGGGTTGGCACTCCTAACCCTGATGTTGCTCAGTGGCCACCTGTACTTAACAACCTAGTATATCACAGTAGATAAGACCATAATGTATATATTATTAAATATATTATTTACTTTTTGAAAAAGTAACGTCTTACTAAAAAGACCAATGCTAAAAGCACTTTTAAACATTACTTTCACTTTTAAAAATGGAGGAATAGTATAGCATTTGACTATAATCCTTCTAAATGGTCTCTACTAAGAGCATTAGTGTCTTGAGCTTTGAAAATCATATTTTAGAGTTGTAAGAGATAAGTTGTGTGTCTAGCACATAGTGCCTGCCATGTAAGAGAGTAAAAAGAAAGACGCACTGAATATGAACTGTTAGGTCTGTTGACGTACTTTCGTTTTCCTAGCAACCTGGGGAATTCAGGCAAAGCTACATGGATTTGAGATGTCAGAGCTGGATTTGATTCCAGTTTGACACCAGTGCATATACACTTTCTGGTGTCAGTGAATGGCTGTCATCCTTTTTTGACTGTATCCCGCTCAAATATACTGGTGATTCTTTTCGTTGCACAAGTGGTTTCGACTGGGCTCTCCTTACAATTGAAAAGTATTACACTATACATAGCAAATATTAAACTGGCTTTTCCTTCTTATTTTTCCCTCTGAGCTTGTTTTGATTTTTCAGTTCAGCTAATAGTAACAGTAGTAATGATTAGCACTTACTGAATGCCTCCTGTGTACCAGATGCTTTTATATGTGCTTTACGTGTATAGTTCATTTAATCCCATGGCAACCCTATGAAGTAGATACTATTATTGTTATACAAAAGAAAAACTTCAGACACAGAGAGGTGATATATAACTTGGTCCAGGGTCACAAAGCTAGTGAATGGTTGAGCCACAACCCACTCAGTTACCCAAAGTAGAAATCTTCCATTTTTCTTGACTTCTTTTCACTTAGTACTTAATTTCTATCAAATTTACCTCTGTGATCTGTATCTTCCCCATTTCTTCCAAACTTAGTATCTCCGATGATACTAAGGAGTCCAGGACTTTACCCTTTCTTGCCCGTGTGTTGGTAAAATATAGCCTCTAGTCCTTTTTAAGGCAAACATTTCACTGAAATACAAATATGATCATGTTACTCTCTTATTGAAGAAAAGAAGAAAGTCTTTCTTGGAAAATCTTCAAAACTGACAATACATGTAGCCATAAGTTTTTGACAAGTTTAGGATTGAGTGATATTTTCTTTTTTCCTATAGCCTTTGAAGAAAGCTGTTAGAATGATGGGAGCACCTAACCTAATAGCAGACAGTATGGAATATGGACTTAGTTACAGTGTCATTTCATACCTCAAAAAATTGAGTCAACAGGTAATGTTAAGAAATAGAACCATTAAGTATTTTGAATGGTTTTCAATGCAAATGTTAGTTCTCCTGGTTCTGATGGAATTACGTTATATGAATACATTACATGTTTTAAAACCACATATATATTAACATAATTCAGTCTCAAGTACGTGGTATGCTGTTTTGGAATGTTAATTTCAAATAATAATTCCTAGTTTATGAAAGTGGCCTCATTAGTGTCCTAGAAATTCTGTGAACATTCATTATGTTTTCTTTTGAGAAATGTATGTTAGAAAGTTGCTTTTCTTAAAAATCAGTTTCTTTTGCTTTATGTTTTAAAACCTGTAGTTTTTTTCTTTCAAAATGGGACTTTCTTTTGAAATATTTGTTGAAAACGCTGATTTTGTCATTTGGGGCATATCACAGTAATAGATTCTTTGGTAGTCAAGCAGTATGCAGTTAGACTGCCAAGATACTACTACTGTATAGAATACATTATTTTTCCAGTACTTTTGCCATCGCTACTTTAACTGCTAATCGAGACGTAGGTTGGAAAGAGTCAAAATATTACTACTTGTTGTCAGTGAAAAACTACATCACTTTTCGTTATACCTGTGAAGATTTAATTATGTGCTAATAATAGTGTCTTTAAGTAAATATTGATGAGATTTTTTTCCCTAATTTTATATCACCTCTGATTTAGAAATACATATTTTCATTTAGGATGCACTTAAACATTTCATGATTTAAGTGTAGTGGCTATTAGTAAATAAAATAAAATTGAAATTGTTTTTGTTTGCCCTGCTCCAGAAGGTTATTATAGTGATTTAAAACTGTAAGACATTATTATTGAAGCTATATTTAGTTTACCAAGAACTTGACATAAACTGTGCTACTTGAAGTTTTAACTTCTTACATACTTTTAAAATATAAATATGTATTTAATTTATAGAAGACCAAAACTATTAGTGTTTAATTTATTAATTTAGATTATGTCGAGACCAACTCTTATTTATTTTTACTTTAGGCCAAAATAGAATCTGATCGAGTCATCGGATCTGTAGGCAAAAAAGTAGTACAGGAAACTGGAATTAAAGTCCGGAGCCGATCACATGGTTTATCAATGGCTTATAGGAAAGATTTTCAACAGTTGCTCCAGGGAATTTCAGAGGATGTTCCTCACAGACTGCTAGACCTTAATATGAAAGAATACACTGGGTTCCAGGTTGCTTTGCTCAATAAGGTAATAGTTCTATGAATTTAATACTGCTCTGGATATATTCTGTTGTATTGTTGAATAAATCAAATTTTGTATTAGCTGATATTTAGTTTGTCCAAACTTTAGGAATACTTCTATACCTTTGTAGACTAATGATCATTAATACTATCATTGAATGAGTGAATTTTAGAATTAAAAAATTATACATGCCAAATTGATGAATAGATCAGTAAGCCAACCCATTCACTTATTTGTTAAATTCTTTAAATTTTTTTTTTTTTTTTAATTTTAGAGAGAGAGAACAGGGGAGAGAGGCAGAGAGAGAAAGACAGAGAGACAGAGAGACACATCTTAAGTAGGCTTCATACTCAGCACAGAGTTGGATGCAGGGCTCAATCCCACCACCTTAGAATCGTGACCTGAGTTGAAATTAAGAGCTGGATGCTCAACTGACTGAGCCACCCAGGTGTCCCCATTTATTTTATAGATGAGAAAACAGATGGGGCATCTAGCTGGCTCAGACGGTAGAGCATTTGACTCTTGTCTTGGTCATGAGTTTGAGCCCCATGTTGGATGTAAAGATTACTTAAAAAAAAGAAGGAAAGAATACAGAGGCTTAAAGATTGCCTAAAGTTACATAGCTAGTGGGAGAGTTCACTGTAGTTTGGTACTTAAACTGATGACCTTGGGTGCATAGCATGATTTTAAAATACTTTATGAATATTCATTATTATAAACATCCTCCTCCCAGGGATGCCTGGGTGGCTCAGTAGTCAGTGAAGTGCCCAACTCTTGATCTCCGCTCAGGTCTTGATCTCAAGGTCATGAGTTGAAGCCCCACACTGGGCTCCATGCTGGGCGTGGGGCCTACTTTAAAAAAAAATTCTTCATCTCAGTAGCCTTTTTTTGTAGAAACAGACATGCCAATCTAAAATGTATATGGAGGGGCGCCTGGGTGGCGCAGTCGGTTAAGTGTCCGACTTCAGCCAGGTCACGATCTCGCGGTCCGTGAGTTCGAGCCCCGCGTCGGGCTCTGGGCTGATGGCTCAGAGCCTGGAGCCTGTTTCCAATTCTGTGTCTCCCTCTCTCTCTGCCCCTCCCCCGTTCATGCTCTGTCTCTCTGTGTCCCAAAAATAAATGTTGAAAAAAAAGAAAAAAAAAATTAAAAAAAAATAAAATGTATATGGAAAGTTAAAGGTCCTAGAATAGGTAAAAAAATTTGGAAAAAAATAATAAAGTTAGAAGACTTACACTATCTATTTTGAAGCTTACTGTAAAGTTGTAATGATCATCAACATGTTCTGTTGTTGACATAAGGATAAACATATAGAGTAGCAGGACAGAAGAGAGTCTAGAAGTAGGCCCTCACATGTATAGTCCGTTAATTTCTAACAGAGGTGCCAGAATAACTCAGTGGGTGAGAAGACAATCTCTTCAGACATAGTGCTGGGCTCATGGGGAATTTAAGAAGCAAAACAGATGAACATAGGGGAAGGCAAGGCAAATAAGATAAAAACAGAGAGGGCAAACCACAAGAGACTCTTAAATACAGAGAATAAACTGAGGGTTGCTGGAGGGGAGGTGGGTAGGTAGACGCACTAAATGAGTGATGGGCATTAAGGAGCACACTTGTTGAGACGAGCACTTGGTGTTACATGTAAGTGATGAATCACTGAATTCTCGTCAAACCAATACTACACTATATGTTAACTTACATGAGTCTGAATAAAATAAAGTAAAAACAAAATGAACAAAAAAAAGAAATAGTGCTGGATCAATTGGATACCCATATTCAAAATAATAAACTTGACCCTTACATTACCAGTGCTCATGGTCTTAAATGTAAAAACTAAAACTATAAACTTCTGGAAGAAAACAGGAGAAAGTCTTCATGACATTGGGTTCAGGGGTCATTGATGATTTCTAAAATATAACACAAAAGGTACATACATAAAAAACTTGATAAATTGAACTTCATTAAAATTTAAACTTTTACACTTGAGATATCACCTCACACCAGTCAGAGTGGCTGAAATGAACAAATCAGGAGACTAGATGCTGGAGAGAATGTGGAGAAACAGGAACCTTCTTGCACTGTTGGTAGGAATGCAAACTGGTGCAGCTACTCTGGAAAACAGTGTGGAGGTTCCTCAAAAAATTAAAAATAGATCTACCCTATGATCCAGCAATAGCACTGCTAGGAATTTGCCCAAGGGATACAGGAGTGCTGATGCATAGGGGCACTTGTACCCCAGTGTTTATAGCAGCACTTGCAACAATAGCCAAATTATGGAAAGAGCCTAAGTGTCCATCAACTGATGAGTGGATAAAGAAACTGTGGTTTATATATACAATGGAATACTACTTGGCAGTGAGAAAGAATGAAATACGGCCCTATGTAGCAACGTGGATGGAACTGGAGAGTGTGATGCTAAGTGAAATAAGTCATACAGAGAAAGACAGATACCATATGTTTTCACTCTTATGTGGATCCTGAGAAACTTAACAGGATACCATGGGGGAGGAGAAGGGAAAAAAAAAAATTAGGGAGGAAGGAAGGCAAACCATAAGAGACTCTTAAAAACTGAGAATAAACTGAGGGTTGATGGGGGTGGAAGGGAGGGGAAAGTGGGTGATGGGCATTGAGGAGGTCACCTTTTGGGATGAGCACTGGGTGTTGTATGGAAATCAATTTGACAATAAATTTCATATTAAAAAAAATCAGCCATAGACCATATGTAAATGAATGGGTGTGACTGGGTTCCAATAAAACTTTATTTACAAAAAATAATAAAAAAATCAAAAAACAATTTAAACTTTTGTCTATAAAAGAAACTTGGTAAAATGAACAGGCAAACTACAGCCTGGGAGAAAAGTATGTACAGAATAAAGAATATGTATCAAAATAACATGAAGAACTCCTACAACTCAATATAAAAAGACAAATATCTAATCAAAAATTGGCAAAATATCTGAGCAGATACTCCACCAAATAAGATGTACAGATTGAACATGATGTAAAAAGATGCTGTACCTTAATGGTCATTAGGGAAATGCAAAATAAAACTACCATGAGATCCCACTTCCCATCCACTACACTGGCTGTACTTGTTATATAATTAGCAGTTCTTCTTGTAGGTATCTACATGAGAGCAATGAAGATGTAGGTCCATATAAAGGCTTTATATGCAAATGTTCATAGTAGCATTATTCATAATAGCCAAAAACTGTAAAGAAAACTGTTCATCAAATGGAAAGTGGATAAAGATATGCTATATCCATAGAATGGAATACTAGTCTGGAGTAAAAAAGAACAGACTAGTGATACATGAACATGTGACTGAATCTCAAAATATCATCCTTAGTGAAAAAAAGCTAGATAGAAAAGATTTGATATAGCAAAATTCCGTTTATAAAATGGAATGTAGGGAGACAGAAAGCAGATCGGTGGTTGCCTGGGGATAGGAAAAGGGATGGACTACAATGGGCACAAAGAACTTTTGTGGGATGATGGAAGTATTGTTAAACCAGATTGTGGTGATGGTTTCACAACTGTAAATTTACTGACACTCATCAAACTGTATACCTAAAATGGGTGATTTTATGGTATGTAAATCAAAGCTCTTTTTCTTTAAATTTTCAAAGTCTTTAAAATTTGGAAATTTGTTTTATAAGATACTTACTTTCCTTAGGCAGAATATATAATAAAATCTTGAAGAGATGTGAATTTGAGTTATTTGGTAAGTTCACTACCAATTTTTATCCTCTGGTTCCCAAAACAGTATATTAAGATTGCATCATAATTTCTTTATTCTATTTTTAAAGCTAATTAGACTTATATATCTTATTTCCAAACCTTTACTGCAGGCTAGAGATTTTAGTCTCTTATAATTCTATATTTGAAAATAAATTTGCCTTTGAATGTTTTTCAATAGGATTTGAAGCCACAGACATTTAGAAATGCGTATGACATACCAAGGCGGAATCTTTTGGATCACTTAACAAGAATGAGATCTAATCTTTTGAAGAGCACCCGCAGATTTCTTAAAGGACAGGATGAAGGTTGGATCATAGTTTCAATAATGGTGTTTCTTTTGTGAATTTCTTTATACTGAAAAAACATAGTATAGTAGTGTAGCTTTTAAAGCATTGTAGTATCTCGTTTTCTTTGTAAATTCAAACAAATGAAGTAAAAAGTGAGTCGTCACTCATTCTCAGAATTTCTTTCTACCATCACTGTTTCCCCCAAATTTTATTCCCCAGAGGTGACACCCTTTGTTAGCAGCTTAGTATCTTTTTTGGCTTTGTTCATGCATTCACACACACAGGTCCACACATGCACAATCATTTTCTTGTGAAACACAATACTAGCATCTGGTGGTTTAACTTGGATGGTGAATACATGTCCTGTTCCTTCAGTTATACCCATGGCACTGACCACAGATCAAGTCAGATGAGAATTTAACTCTTTGCCATCTCTGACGTAAGCATTCCAGCTATACCTTTATTTACGTATTTATGTTTAAATGTTTATTTATTTATTTTGAGACCGAGAGAGTGCAAGCGTACTTTGGGGAGGGGAGTGGGTGGGGAGAGAATCCCAGGCAAGCTCCACATTCAGCGCGGAGTCCGACTTGGGGCTCCATCTCACGACTGTGAGATCATGACCTGCGCCGAAATCAAGAGTCGGACGCTTAACCAACTAAGCCATCTGGGGACCCCTCCCACCATAGCTTTATATAAAAAGGGTTATCTATATGTGATATGTCTTTTCTATAAATTCTGCTATAATTAAATTCTGCTTATTTGGAATATAATAGAAGAGACATTCCTTTTCATGGTAATGTTAACGCATATTTGCTTATTCTATACACTCAAATTAACTGCAATATTTTTGTTTTATTTAGAAGGTAAAATCAGTTCTTTTAAATTTTATTTTAAAAATCTCAAAGACTTCATTTATGTCACAATATTTATGACGACAAACCAATTTTGCATATATGGGAAGGGAAGACTGCCTAGGATAACCCCAGATAGCATTCAAATATAAGAAGGTATTATTTGGTAATTAAACAGAGTATCATTTCAGTGAGGTTAACTTTTGTTATTGCTCTGTTCTGTTTGAAAAGATCAAGTGCACAGTGTTCCTATAGCACAAATGGGGAATTACCAGGAATACCTCAAGCAAGTACCTTCTCCACTAAGAGAACTTGATCCTGATCAGCCTCGAAGGTTGCATACATTTGGCAACCCATTTAAGCTAGATAAAAAGGTAAGCTTGAAACGTTCCATTGTATAATTTATTTGTGGATTTAACAGTTCTAATTTCACTAAAGTAAGCTGAAGCTGTTTTGTTGGTAGACTAATAAATGTTAACATAGTTATAATCTAGTTGCTTTAATGGGAACTGGAATTAGTTGTGCCATTTAAAAACTATATGTAAATCTAGGGAAATTATATTCTCTTTTGTTACAGGGTATGATGATAGATGAAGCAGATGAATTTGTGGCTGGACCTCAAAATAAACATAAACGACCTGGAGAACCAAATATGCAAGGGATCCCTAAAAGACGTCGCTGTATGTCTCCACTGCTGAGAGGCAGACAACAGAATCCAGTTGTGAACAATCATATTGGAGGAAAAGGACCACCTGTACCTATGACTCAAGCACAGCCAGATCTTATTAAACCCCTTCCTCTTCATAAAAGTAAGAGTTTTTTAAAAATAAACATTATTTGCTGCTGTTTGTTTTTTGTGTGGGGAAGAGATTTTTGTAATAAAGTATAGAAAAAATTGATAAAGTCTAAGAGTGTCTAGAGAAGATAATTGTTTATTCTAAATTAGCGTGTAATCATAGTCCTTTTAGTGAACATTTGGACATTTCATGTATTTATTATGCTCTATTATAGCTGTCATGATCTAAATATCATTTATAAGCCTTAAGTATTTCAAAATAACAGGTATAGGGATGTTCTCAATACCCATAGAAAGGTGGTTTTCAATTACAGGTAACTTCAACAACTAATTATTAAATACATATGCTATGGTAAACAGTGCTAGGCATTGAGGTATCGCAGTGAACGAGACAATAGTGATCTCTGCCCCCATTTAGAATGAGGAAAGACAGTCATTGAACATTTCATTAGAAGTGTGGTGAATGTTCAGAAGGGAAGTCAGGTATGTTTTGGAAGCATGTGGCAAGAGGATTTTAGTCTGTGGGGTCAAGGCACTTTATTGAGGAAGTTACGTTTAAGCCAACATTGGAAGGATGAATGGGAGTTGTTTCACTAAAGCTGTGCATTCAGGAGTCTTGCTAAGCAGTCTGCTGCATACTATGTGTATAGTAGTAGTATAAGAAGAGTCTGTGCAAACGTATACAGTAAAGAGAAGCAGTTAAGGGGCTGAAAGAACTCTAGTATAGCAAAGGTGTTGGGGGTGAGGCAAGATGAGAGATGAAAGATAGGTTGAGGCCAGATCATGGAGGGCCTTGGAGGCCATTGTAAAGATTCCAGACTTTAAGGACAATGAGAATCTTTGAAAGGTTTGAGACGCTAGTGACCTCATCTGGTTAGCATTTTATAAAGACCAGGCTGACTGTCCTGTGCAGAGTACTGTTAGGGAAGAACAAGAATGGATGTAGGGGAACTCTTAGTAAATTAATGGAATCATTAATTATAGGTAGTGATCATTTGTGGCTTAAAACTGGAGAGAACCAAATATTATATAACTCCTGAAGGGTTTATACAGTATCACTTCTGAAATACTCTTGCCAAAAAACAAAAAAGAAAGAAATCGAACCTTAACCTGATCAAGCCTCTAGATCTAACTACCAATTTATAGGAAATACAAGGATAGGAAAACATATTAAATGACAAAATAGGGAGACAATTAGCATAATCCAGATGGTGGGACACTGTAAGACAAAGAATATGGGATATGTGTATATCCAGAAAAAATGCATAGAAAAAAAGAGAAGTACAGAAGGATCTTATAGATTAAAAGGTAGTTAAACGACCTATAAACCAATGACAGTGTGCAGGCCTGATTTGAACCCTGAATCAAACAAAATCAAACTTCCCTCCACAGACAGAAAATATATAAAGTAATTAGAGATTGTGAACACTGATAGGATATTTGATGTCATTAAATAATTATTAGATGCACAGAAAGCAGTTAAGGAACCCAGGGAAGAGCTAATGACCTGCTAGTGGAGTTGTGAGAAGAACATGTATTTGAGAAATACTTGGACACATCAGTAAAGACTTGATGACGACTGGCTGGATGTTGGAGTCAGGGCAAGAGAGGAGTTGAGAGATGCTTGGTAGGTGAGGGTAACGGGGTGGAGTAGAAGAGCAGATGATGAGTGATTTTAGAGGTGCCTATTAAGTTAGCCACATGGAGATCCTAAGGTAGAAGATGGATATTTTAGTTTAGAACTAAAGAAGAGACTGGGATAAAGAGGGAGGTGCAGGAGGCAGTCTTAGCCCCAATTGAAGTGAATTAAATCACACCAAAGAAAACAATGAGAAGAAAAAGCCTAGAACAGAACTTTGAAAGTGCTAAAGTTAGGGAGAGAAATGAGTTTCAGGAAAGATTGAGAAAGAAGAATCCAAGAAATAGGAGATGAGAAGAATTTGGTGTCGTGAGAGCTAAAGGGAAAGAGAATTGAGTGGTTGGTGGTTTCAAATGCTTCTTAAACAGGTCAGTCAAAAGGATTAGAAAAGTTCTATTGGTCTTTGGCTGCCTTAGCAAGAGCAGTTTTGCTCCCACAAAATCACTGGGAAGGCAGACAGGAGTGGTCCAGAGCCCAGAAGAAAGAATGCTACTTCCAGTGAAGCAGAAAGGGTATGGGCACAAGTTGAACAGTGGCAAGTAGAGGAAGTTCCTGTTTCACAGCTCTGCTTTCCTTTCCTCTGTGAAGTGAGAGGTGATGTATGCTCCTGAGTGGGAGGCAGGGATTGGGAAAGTCCGAGATGTTAAGAGAGCGGAGAAGGTTAGAATGATCTTTTGTGGGAGAGGGAGGAAATGTTGTAATAAGATTGCTGGGTCCTGTTTCTCCACTAGCGCTCATCATTCCAAATGCACATCTAGAGCAAGCAGATAGAGTCGGCAGATTTGGGGTTTTGCCTGGCAGGGAGGACAATAGAATGAGAGAATTTAGGACATTGGTAAAAAGTAATGCATATGGGATATAAGTTGGATAGACAAGAAAGAGGAATCTAGAAGGTAGGATCTGCTCATTGGGAGGGAGAAAGTGGAGGAGATGCTGAAGTAAGAGTCTGGCTGAGTTACAGAGCCAACAGCAGGAGTCCTGCAAAGATAAGGGTTATGCTCCTCTGCCCGTGAATTTGTGTTTGATTTGAGAGCCAAACAAGGTGAGACATTAAAGAATTGAGGCCATGTTCTTGGCAGGTGATCTGCTTAGACACTGAAGTCCCATACAACAGTAATTCTTAAACTTTAATGTGTCATTGCATCACCAGGGGATCTAGTTAAACTGCAGATTCTGAATTCATTGTTTAGGGCAGGGCTCAAGGTGAACATTTCTAGCCAGCTTTCTGATGGTGCTAACACTGCTTGTATTAGACCACATTTTGAGTAGTAGTGATCTAGGATAATGCCCAAGGGACATCAGGGTGGGAGGAAGACTGCGAGCCAGGTATGACCAGAGAGGTGTGCCTTAGAGATCCATAAAGACCGTGATAGGAGAGAGAGGATGAGTGTAGTGGCCTCTACTTTCTCCCTCCCATTTATCAGAGCAAGAGTGTTATACGAGTGCAGGGAGAAAGTAACTTGAAGTGGCACTGGAAGGTGAAGGAATCGGTGACTGTACCTCCTTATTTTAAGTCCATGGAGAGTGTTTGAGAGAAAGCAGTTTCTAACTCCAAGTCTGAAAAGAAGAGCAGTTTCTTTGTCAGAGAGCTGCGTTTCAGTTAAAGCGGGAGTCGTTACAGAGAATATTTAGGAAAATTTGCAAATCATGGACGGGGATTTAGGAGGGAGTCAGAAGTTTGAGGGCTTTTTGTGGGCATGAGTTTACCTTTGGACGATAAATGAGGGAAGTAGAGATGACTTCAGCGGGTGTCCTGGAGGTTTGGTGAGCAGTCAGGGAACTTACAATTCAGCTGCTTTCTGTGGGGGGCAAGTGTTTGTAAGCTTTTTTAAGTCCAGTAATCTGATGAACTGCAGTGGGCACCAGGCTGTGGGCACTGTTCTGCGTTGCTCAACTAAAGACTGGATGAGTGGTTATAAGAAAAGAGTGTACTGTAAAGTGACCTGTCTGACAGTGGGTTCCCAGCAGAATATTGAACACTTTGGACTCCCTGTGTTTACTTTTGCCTCTAAATGATAGTAGACTGTATAAGGCGGAGGTAAGTTGGAATGAGTTAGGACTCTCTAAGGAAAGGGTAACCCTGATGGTCATATATGTTCCCCTAAAGCATTAGAAATTTGCTTGTTCAATAAAATTGCCATAGAATAAAGCAGAGAACTAAAAGTTGTGTGAAATTGGCTTTTATTTTTTTTCCTAAGGGCAAAAATTTTACAGATTTTGTAAGTACTGTAAATGTTTCACATTGAAACCCACCATCTCTTTGGCAAATCTTAAGAACCATATCATATTATTTGTTAATTTGCATCCATCAAGGAAATTAGTTGTGATTTGCTGTAATATTATTTGTAGCTGTTTTCTTACTGTGTGCTTTGAAGTTGGCTCATGTCAATTTTTTCTTCTTATCTTTGTTTTTAGTTTCGGAAACCACTAATGATTCGACAATAGATGATGTGGTTGAAAATCATGTTGCAGACCAACTTTCATCAGATATTACACCAAATGCTATGGATACTGAATTTTCAACTTCTTCTCCAGCCAGTTTACTGGAACGACCAACCAATCATACAGAGGCGCTTGGTCATGACCATTTAGGAACTAATGACCTCACTGTTGGTGGATATTTAGAAAATCACGAGGAGCCAAGAGATAAAGAACAATGTCCTGAAGAGAATATACCAGCATCTTCACTCAACAAAGGAAAGAAATTGATGCATTGCAGAAGCCATGAAGAGGTCAACACTGAACTAAAAGCACAAATAATGAAAGAGATCCGAAAGCCAGGAAGAAGTATGTATAATTAGAGGCAAACCCCATATTTGATATCTGTGTGGGCTCAAAAAAATTTAGAAGCATATACCTGATTCTAGATCAGTTTTGAACAACATTTGAGCTATGTAAGATTTGATCTTTATTCAGCCTACAAACACTAAATGTCTGTTATATCCAAAGTAGTATGGTGTAGATATGGTAAGCAGGAGGGACTGAGAGCAGAGCTTGAAGAACACACAGACAAATTACACATAGTTCCTACTATGACAGGAACCCGTAGTCTTGAGTATTCTTCTAAACAGCAACTGGAATTTAATGTAGCAGCAAACCCCCAAAAGTGTAGCGAATATTAAATAGTTTCATCTCTGTAGAGTTCCTGACACAGTGTCTACCACTATGTTTAAGGGTTAAACTATGATGGTGAGCAGGGATGTGTTTAGGCCAAAACCCTAAAGTTAGAAAAGCAATCTATGAAATGAATATAAAAGAACTTTGGCATAAAATTTCAGTATTATGACATCCATTCAAAGATGTTGACAGATTGACGGACCATGTGCTTTAATGGAACACCCATGGGTGGTTCAAAAGTGGGTAAGACAGCCCTTGCCATTTAGGAGTTTATAGTCCTTGGCAGAATTTTAGGTGAAAACTTGAAACTGAACTAGCACTCTTAACCATTTTTTCTGTCTCCATATGCCCCTCCCCATCTTGTTAACTGGAGTTGAGAATTTAAATTATAAGTATGCAATTTTATAAAGGCTACTTGCTGCTGCTTTTTCAGTGGCCAGTACCAAAAGCTAGTCACGTACTTTCTAAGCTTTATGTTTGATATCTTAATGGGAACTTTTACCAAAACTTCTGTGTTTACCAAGTTATTTTATCTTGATTGATATATGATGAAATATGTGTATTAATGAGTGGTAGAATATTTTGGTTTGGTTTAGCATATCTTGATACCGTAAACTGCAGTAGAAAAATATTGAATAAGAGTGCATAGAAAAGCCACTAATTTTTTTCTTTGCTTCTCTTGTTTTAAGAATATGAAAGAATCTTCACTTTACTGAAGCATGTGCAAGGCAGTTTACAAACAAGACTAATATTTTTGCAAAATGTCATTAAAGAAGCATCAAGGTAAATAATCTGTTGTACATTATGAAATGATTATGAAATGAGTCCCCAGTTTACAGTCAGTGTTGTAACAGTTGTGACTGTTATAACAGTATCTGTACTTGTTGTGTTATGCATGCCTATGACACAGCCATGTGTGTCCTCCTCCTCCTCCTCCTCTGTTTTAGTTTATTGAAAGAAATTCACTTAAAAAATAGCCACACACAAATTCTTCACCAATTATGGACCTTTTCTCCCTGTAGATTATAGATACTTGCATAATTCTCATTGATCCTACTCTGTGCCTTTTTGGGGTCTTTATATTTTATAGCCTTCAGCTTTTCTCCTTTATATATTTGGACTACAGTTGATATTAATCAGTGATTAGAAATAACCTTGGAAGACAATATTTGAATGCTGTTCATTTGTACCTGGGAAAACATGTAATTAAGGGGAGCAGAGTTGGACAAATGGGCCTTATTCTGATTGCTTCAGTAGCCCAGGATTATGTACTTTAATACAAGGAATGTGGATCAAGATTATAAATGGTAACTATGAAGTGCAATTAACTGGAAAGCATAGTTGTATGAGTAGTGAGTGAAAAACACAAAACGTTTTTCCTTGAAGACTTCTTTAGTATTATAAGAAAACTTAGGGTTATCTCCTCTGACCTTTCAAATATACACAGCCTTTAAAAGTCCCCCAGTTTCTTCCATGCTATTCTTAAAGGCATTTTTAGATAGAGCAGTTACTTGGTTTTTTTTGTTTGTTTGGGTTTTTTTTGGAGTAGCTAGAGCATACACCACTTTGAGGGTTCAAAATAAGGCAGTAACTTTTCATGTTACTTATTTTGAGTATTTATTCTTTATGTAACATTCTGTCAGCTCAAACTTCATCATGGATTTAGCTATATTCCTGGTGGCCTGCACTCTCTACTTCTAACACCTTTTAGAGAGTTGTGTAATATTATGGTGGCTATTCATATTAATTTACAAGTAGAGAGGAAGTGGATATAGATTGGACAGTGTTTTTGGATATTCTAAAAAGCATCAGCAGTATTAATAACTTATGTAGACGAATGCAATTTTAGTCTACTATATTAGTGAAGAAAATTTTAAATTGCCACTTGAACTTTCAATGTTTGCTATATTATCCTATACTGCAGATGTCTAATTATCCTTGATTTGTTAGCTTTCAAACTGTAATAGTAGAACACCAGGGTTTTTAAACGTTACTATCCAACTGTCGTTTCTTCTTCCCTTTTGTGGGGATTATATTCATACTTTGTTCACATTCTTTCAACATACAACTTTTAAAGAGCATAGGAAGTACGGGCACCTGGGTGGCTCAGTCGGTTAAGCGTCCGACTTCAGCTCAGGTCCTGATCTCACGGTTCGTGAGTTCGAGCCCTGCGTTGGGCTCTGTGCTGACAGAGCCTGGAACCTGCTTCGGATTCTGTGTCTCTCCCTCTGTCTCTGCCCCTCCCCAGCTTGTTCGTTCTCTCTCTCTCTCTCTCTCTCTCTCTCTCTCTTTCTCTCTCTCTCTCTCTCAAAAATAAACAAACATTAAAAAAAAAATTAGCATAAGAAGCTATTGGAATCATTGCTTTAGGAGTCCAAATTTTGTTGGAATATTTGTAACCCTTGTAAATGTTAGGGTTTTTTTTCTTTTTGGTTGTGGAACAAATATCTGACTGTACCTGGGCCTGGATTATTTGTTTTAGGAACAAACTGCAATTCTGCACTGATAAAATAATTTGCTTATTATCTTCCATTGGATTTTATATATCATAAAGTTGTTGTTTTTCATTTTCATTTTACTTTGAAAAATCTTCCCAAGGCAGTTTCTGTCTTTAAAAAAAGCATTATACTGATCTATATCCATTAAAAAGAAATTGAGAGTGCTATCACTTATTTTTTTATACAGGTTTAAAAAGCGAATGCTAATAGAACAACTGGAGAACTTCTTGGATGAAATTCATCGACGAGCCAATCAGATCAACCATATTAATAGCAATTAAAAGAAAACAGAATGTGGCCACTTATTTCACTATCTTCTCCAAATACAAAGTAAATACAAGACTGTTGTGATCTTGAATTCATTTTTTGACATGCATTGTTGGCTATTTGAAATACTAAGAGCAAGTCTACAGATCCTTTTTCCATCATTTTACAGTGACCTTTTCTTCATTTTGGTTTATTTTTGTAATGTGAAAAATATCACTCTAAAACACATTTTTATTTAACAAACTAAAAATATTCCTCCAAATCTCTTGCTTGTCATTGACTCTTGCGTGTCAATTTCCCTCAGGTTCTATTTTCTTAAACCAACCTTTAAAATTGTCACCTCTGTTAAGGTTGAACTTTGCCAAAAAAAAAAAATAATAAAAAGTTACTTTGTAATTTTTGGGGAAAAAAGCACATACATTAAAACTAGGTAATGTTTTGTATATACAGTTATTTTGGATATATTATTGTAAGTTGTACAAATGTATTTTGAAGAATATTTAAGAAAAGCACTTTTGTTATTCCATCAATAAATGCTCTATTTTACTCTTGTGTGGTTTAGGAAATAATCACATTTAAAGTAATCATTTAAAACCATCTTAAGGATAATGGAATTTTAAAGGCCTTGCTTTTTAAGCATTGGACAAATACACCACTTGAAGTTCATATTTGTTAAAGCTAACTGTAATTATCTGTTACATAATCTGCATTGTCTTTTTACTCTATGTTCTTAGATTTTGTTGGCTACACCAACATACTCCCATTTCTGCCTAGATAATAGAAAAGATGGGATCTGTGGCAAATAGGCAGACACTTTAAAAGCTGTTTAAAACGCAGACATCTTTGACATTATTGGTTTCCTTACTCCCCTTCAACGTCTTTTTCCGTTCTCACTAGGATTATGGGTGGCACTAAGTTGAAGCTGCCAGTTAGGGAGGTGTAAGTTTGGGGCACACCACATAGTCTGAAATGGCCAGCCTTTAGCAGCTTGATGCCATGCTTACAGAAGTCCCACAACAAATTGGGAGTTCAAAGGGGACCTCTTTGTTTTCCTCTGCTGTTCTTACGCTTAAACTCTTCATTTTGTTTAGAAGCTAAATGGAAAGGAAACATTTAAGATGACTTTGCTCATTTTGTATTCCCCCTGAAATACCCAGGATAAGGAAAAACCAACACTATTCATTGTCCACTCTCAGTCCAACACGACCTCAGATGACTTCACTGAGGACGTTGACCCTGTGACCAGACTCCTCACTCACCTTTCATAGATCACTGCTGTGCCTTGTAGTGCTTTTGGGGTAACCAATAGAAAAGAAGGTTAAAATACATTTAGATTAACAGGGGGCAAAATAAATTTATAAAATTATAGTAAAATTGATGGAATTTTAGTTTCATAATATTTGAAAATCACATACCCTTATCTTTTTACACTTTCGCGGAACATTTTTAAAATTTCAGGGGTATAGCAGAATGCAATTGTAACTTTTTATGAAGAAAAGCATAGTTGACAGTGGAGAACATGCTTGAGATCTCTTAATTTAGTCTAGGGGATTTGAAACGCTCCCAATACTGAAGACAAATCCTGTCAAGAAAAAGAAGCATTTAATGTAACGTTACATAGTATTTTCATATGCAATTCTTTAACCCTTTTTTACCTCTACAAAATACCTTTAAAGCAGGATACCATTTCATAGGTGGAATTGTCAAGGTAATTACCTGCAGTCACTGCTAAATTCAGGAGCTACACAAAATCCAGAATATATTGTCTGGATTTAATTGTCTTAAATTATGTATATTTAGATTCTGAGATTAATAGAAGGGATTACAAGTCATTCGGATAAAAGTTCATACTTAACAAGAATATTTAGGAAGGGGGTTCAGTCTATTCCGATGTTTAGCAGCTTTCCTCATCAGGAAGTTCTTATTTCCATTTTATAGATTGCTCCTGAGGTGATCATCTTTAAACCCTTCACCTTGATTACATTCTGGGGATGAATCTGGGAAGAGCAGTTTGTTCAGTCTCCTCTTTCTGTCCTTAATCTCTCTGTCACCATGCTCGATAGCCTCATCCAAAACCTAGTCATAAGGTTTGAAACTAATCAAAACTCAAGCTTAATATCCCATCTCGAAGGTTTTTTACATTTTAAGAAACTGGGCATATTAGTTAAATTAGTGAAATACTATAGAATTCTTGTAAGCAACGGGGGGTTGAATTTAAGGGGAATATCCTGTCTTTTTGGGCCCTCTAGGTCACTGGGTGACTTTAGGCTGGGCAAATGGTATTCTCTAACAGTTTAATCTTGAGATTAAGATCGTTTTTCTTAACGTTCCCATATGTGTCCCATTTGTCAATGGATTCATTATTTGCCCTTATCAGTAAGATGTGTCCATTTGGTGTCCTGAAGGCTGAGACTGATTTCTATCTCTTCGACACCCCTCTCACCAGGAGAGTAGTCACTGTGCCGTGTGTGGTGTGGGCAAGTACCTCCCAGAAAGAGGTAAATAAATTCACAAAGACTATATTCAGATGTGCGGCGGATTATGGAACTGGTTTTGGATTAGCCTTTTATGTTCATGTGTTTACTGAGGCAGTTCTGAAAACTCCTATCATCGAAACAGTGGTGTGTCCTTTACTAGTGCAGAGGTTTTACGTCATTGTTATGCAGCTGAATTCCAAAAGAGATATCGGTCTCTTTAACTGTCATCAACTTTTATTGGCTATCAGCTTTCGACAATGACCTTCCTATTTGCATTTAGTCCTGTCTCTGTTTCTTGAGGGAGTAGAGCCTGTCACTTTTTTCATCTTTCATTTTTTGGACATGTATCCTTTCTAAGAGAGGGCTCTCTGTTGCCTGTTCTGAGTGATAAGTGACAATTTCATCTAATAAACATGGGGATGGAATGATCATGGTGAAATCCTAGGAGGATATATTCTGTTGATGGACTTTTTCTCCCCAAATAATCCCCCGATAGATTATTTCCTAGTGAATGATTATCTTCATCCTTTTTGTCACAAAAGTGTTCCTTTGATTTCCAGCACAAGTTACAGCAGTATGCAAATGATTCTCAGATAAAATGATGTTGACAGTATTTCCTTAACAATTTGTGTAAAACTTATGCGTAATTTTCATTATTCTAACTTTTGACTTTTTTTTCTCTCCATAAATAAAAATAATGCCTGATGTTTAGTTAAAGTAGATCCACTTTTGCTTGATTTTGTTAGTCTTGTTCCATCCTATTTCTTTTTAACACATTGTTTCGACTTGCCAACAACTCTTTACTGAGAATCTCTTTTCCTTCCTAGGCTGATAAATAATGGGGAGGGGGGAGGGGGAAACACGGAGAGGAATACTTAGAATCCTTTTTCATCGCAGAAATGAGAGGAGCTCCGCTTGTCCCTCTGATGTGCTGAGGCTTTGCCTGGTCCATACCATTTCTGGCTTAAGATGAGGTTGTATAGTGGAACTAAGAAGTACTTGGGCAAACACTTGATTTTTGTGTAATTTCGGCCAGCTTGAGAAAGACCAACAGAAAAACTATAGAAATCTAGGTGCATTCACTAGAATACTGGGGTTGCTGAGTCGAAAGATTCCTTGGACACACGAGTGCCCTGAAGGAGCTATATCTTTTGTCCTACAGTGATGAGAAAGTGAGGCAACAATGGGGGGCGGGGGGGGGGGGAAGTCAAGATGAATCACTTACATTACTTTCATGATCTTTCTGAGTCTTCCCCAGCAGTAGAAACCTGAATTTTTAAAAATCCACATCAACAAAAAAATGAGCCGAAAAGCCAAAAACCACACGGAGGGTATTAGTTTCCTTTGTAGTTAAGAAATGTTCCCCTTTCTCAGGATACGCGACAAGAAACTGGGAAGCTTCTGAAGCACCATAGAAACTAGCTAGAAGGAATGCTTGTTTTAGGCTGCAGTGGACAAATGGGCGCTTGTTGCTAGAGAGATGCTGATAAATATTTAATATATCTGAGTGGTGTCCAGAAATACTGTCATACCTGTGTTGGGTTCTCTCAGGAAAAAGAAGAATGGCCGATCTGCTTTAAAAAAAGGAATCCGAGACCTTTTCAGTAACAACAGAGCTGCAGGAGGGAAAGAATAGGAGACTATTACATTTTTTATTCATTTGAGGGAAGTCACTATTAAAATTGGAGCCGAAGTCAGTTATATCCCTTGATTTCTGAAGAAATCAGAACATCCTAATGTATTTGTGTAGTGTTATGATGGGGTACAAATGGGAAAATTAAAGAGAAAAGATGCCACTTAGCAACCCTGTGTCCCATTTTCAAAATGTTCCATGGAATGAATTCCTTACTGAAGGTAATTTTCAGAATGACTTCATCCCTTGTTTATGGGGATGATGGTACAAATCCTTTTCAAACTGGATTTCTCTTCTCTCGCCATTTTTCAAACTCTTTGTGTTAACCTTCCTTTTTAAAAAATGCTATACCACATATACCACATCTGGACTTGGGGTTTTGAGTGGGAAAGTTTAGAAATGTGGAGATTGAACTGGATAAACCTAACAAAGGCATAGAAGGGCAAGAGGTATGACTTGAGCACTGCTGACCCCTTGATGAACATACCGGTGGCTGTAGACGCCTTGCTGCCTTCCTCGGAAACCTCAATCTTGGCTTTGTGGATCGCTTCGGAAACATAAAAGCCATCTTGGCCTAATCCCAAGAAATAAAAATGTGAATTGCTTATTTCCATTTTTAATGCATTTGGCTTAAGGATTTGAGTGTACTTTTAAAGAACGCACTTAATGACAGTCTCATGCTGCTTACTATAGCTAGGGAGAGATTTGTTTGGAAAATTCTGAAGCTGCGATTTTTTTATGTAACTTTCAAAACCTCCGATTTGGTGAGTTTAATAAATAACCCCTCCCAAATTAATATTTAGAGCGGGGCCCTGTTTTTTCAATGTTAATTTCCCCAAGTAACTTGTAGTTAATATTGAAATCCTCAGCCAGTATTTTCACCAGAGGATGTGTCAAAATGCAGATTCTGGAGTCCAAGAATCCTTTTTCAGCCAGCTTCTGAGATGGTTTCCCTTGAATGCTTTCTTGGACTGCATTTTCAGAGCCACTTTTTAAATGACAGTTACAGGTTTGTACTATGGGCCTTAAAAGGCATAACTCAGTGTATTAAAAATGTGTCTCAAGCTGCATTCTATATACTGAGGTATATCAGTTAGGCAATTAACTTGCATGGGCTAGCATCTGGAAAGATAATGAGAGGTCAGAACTATAATAGTTGTGTGCTATCAACTTCAAAGATGTAAGCTTAGCAAATAGGAATAGGAGTGATTAAGTTGGAGGAACTGACAGGTTTTTGTAATTTAACCATTAATCATTTTTAAACAGCTCTCCACAGTGAAATGGTACTTGACGACATAATATTGAAGGAAAGTAAGAACCTTTAGAACTAGAAGAAACTTCAGAAGTCAGTTATACCAACCCTTTCATTTGAGAATAAGCTGTTAAGTGATCTGAAGTCATGCACTTGATAGAAGTAGAACTTGGGCCTTTGTAGG